TGGGACAGAATGTAGCACTCTGATGTTACTGTGTTGTCTAAGGAATCTACTGAGAGCTGTTAAAAATGTTCTACTTGAATATGCGATGCGAATTTTGTTTTCTCAGTCCAAAGGTTTACTTAATACATTCATTGTGACTGACGATGATTGGGGATGAATTTGTCCATACATGCATCACTTGCACGCTTAATTGGACTGTACAGTTATTTTACTACAGCCCTTGAAACTACACATTTGTGTTTCAATTATTCCTGTTTTCAATTTTTGTTTTGCTGTTTTTATCAGTATTTTTGAGCCTTTGTAGTTTTCATGCCAATGGAAATTTGCATACCAAAATACAATTTCAGCCAAGGTTTTGAACCAAAATGATATATCGATGTGCAAAACCCTGGAATGTTTACATTTTGATGTAGTAAATTTCCATTTCTTTGGCAATTTGTAAGTATATATGGCATGAAGCCAGCATGCAACCTTTCCTTCCTTAGAAATGTTTTCATAGAGCAAATTTGGGATTCCAAATTTGAACGGGAAATCATATCAACTGAGCAGTGTCTTCCCTGATTTAAATCTCTTCAACATCATCCTCATTTGTCCAGAAACGTTTGACAATTTTTTGTGTTTAAAAAAAAAATGCACTTTTCAGTACGCTTACATGTAACACCGCAAGAATGTTAAAAACATTGTCATACTTTGAAGGAGAGTATAAAGACGCACACAAAAACCACCCCATTGCACTTACATGATCACTGTACCTACATGTACATGTATCCCCTAGAGTGGACATTCCTTTGTTTCTGTGCATTCAAACTCAGCAAACTTGGTGAAAATGCTCCTTTTTCTTGCACTGGAAACACTATTGTGTACTGGATTTTTGTTGTCCAGAAAGGGAGTTACCTTGTGTGGACCTGGTTTTTGCCATTCAAGGTTCACACAACCTGCCTTTATGAGGACCTCGTTGCTAATGGGTCCACACTACATGTACGTTGTACGTTTGCATTACATGTGGTACTAGTGGGTTTGTCAGGTTGGCACACACACATGCCAGTACGGCCACTGTGCAATCAGTTACATCTTGGTTACAGAGAGTTCATGCATCCGGAGGGCATTTCATATTTGGCTGCCTCTTCTGAGTGAGTGTCAGCCACTCCTGTTGCCTTGACCTTGCCCCCGTCACCATCAGGGAGTGCTAATTATTCCTCCGTTGGGATTTAGAGGCATAATTGGTGGCATGTTGGTAGCAACTTGCCCTGGTACCGGGTATATGGTGCACAATGGAGGAACGGAAGGCAACACTGAAGGATGCATGTGCTCTCAGCACATGTGACCTTGACCAGGGCTTTTTATGGTATCTGAGCACTAATAAGTATGGTGCCCTATATCCTCTTGAACCTTTTAGCCAACACATCGGTCATTTTGTGCAATTATGCCTCCAAAAGGCTTCCATGTGTATTAGTCAATTGTCCTCATGAAATTTTAAAAATGGCGAAGTAATTTAAAATTCAAACCTGTCTGGGTCACAGGTACACCTGTAATTCTAACAGTTTTTCGTTCATTTTTTGAAATTGCTTTCCGTTAATTTTGTTACACTTCTCCAATTTCGACTTAATTTCTTTGATTATTGTTGTGACCGAGCTGAATTTAAATTTGTGTTGATCCCTTGTGTATCGTGTGTTGAAATTGTGGCAGTTTTCACAGAGAATTTATCGGTCTCCAGAAGATGTGTGCTTGCCCGCTGAATGGAATAAGTACCAGTGAGCTCGAATGTGTATCCCTGTGAGACACGCTACATTGTCTGCCCAGAAATGCCCTGCAGAAATCATTAGACATTCACCCGCACTCTAGGTGCAAGTGAAGTGTGCATTGTGAGTCAATATCGCGGTCAGGGATCTTACTTCATGGATCATAGACTCAACATCAATGTTGACAGGACTCATGCCTGGGCCGTCTCCCTGTGAAACAGTACCCACCTGCCGTCTGCTGCGGTTCCCCTTTTGATTTGTTTGCTTGTGATCCTTGCCTCTAATCTTTTGCCCTCCCCCGCCCCCAAGTTTCCTCGTGATTTCACTTTTGCCTGTTTTGCTTTCTGCACTCAGCCATGCCTGCCTGTGTGTTCTCTATCTTTTGCCCTTTCCTTGAGTTGCCAAGATTAGACATAGCCTCTTTCCTGTATGTTGTCCCAAATTTTAGAGCAGATATCCTGGTTTCATCAACAGTCCTCTGAATGTCCTTTTCAACTCCTCATAAAGTTGGCACATCTAACAGTACTTCCTACACATCCCTTCTGCTGTCTCCCACGTCCTCATCAGTTCCCCCTCCGGTACTCCTTGTTGGCCCATCATCATCCCCGCTTCCCTCTCACTAAAGACAAGCAACTCTCTCCTGTCATCATCTCAACCGGAGTGATCAGAATGCAAATGAACGATCATCTTCCTCCGCCATTTCTGTCTCCTCAAGGCTACTGTTGTGATAGCTGAAATCCATATTTCTGTCGGTAATGGTATTGACTGAAACGTCCACCGCGCCAATTCACCGTGGGAACGTTGCGGCAGTCGGGCCCCAGTAGGCTGGCCCCCCTCCTTCCCCGGCACATGCGCGCACCACACCTCGGATACTGCCGAGGGAATGGCGTGCGCTGACGGGCAGGGCGTGCAGCAAGACTTGCGGAATAATTAATTGCCATCTTCCCCCCTGCCAAAGTGAATAACGATGTGATGCGTGCAGAAGCGTGTGTGTTTGAAGAGAGCTTAATTGAGTGTGTCGGCATGAGATCATTGTAAATAAAGTGCATATGATGCGATATGCATGGACATCTCTATCATGCAATCCATCACTGCATGTAATTTACATTATTTTGTACATGTACGTACATGCACAGGGTAACTATGTCCTACAGAATTGGATACAAATGTGGCAGACATATTTGTAATACATATGTTGACGGATGTGCATTCTTGAAGTCACAAGCCAATGGTGTATGAATTATTCGGTAGATTCAGTCCAAAAGTGTGACATATTTGTATTCCTGTTGCACTCGCCGTGTGTAATTGGAGATGGGAATATCGTTAAAATTGACTTCAAACCAGTTTTATTTGTTAAGCAAGTAATTTACATGAATACTTAATCACTCTTGGAAATTAAAGAATGTGCTGTACACTTATGAAATCATCGATGTGATGACATGGGGACACAAAGAAAAATGGAACCTATATTTTTCATGAATAATACATACGCACATGGAAAAATAGTCCTTGTGCTTGTTTATTAATGAGTTACTGTTGCTGGGTGTGAATATATGACTCTTTGTGTTCCCAGCCTGCTTCTCCAAACACACAAGCACATATTTATGGCCTGTAGCCTCTGAATGGAGTTGGAACCGACCTGGTGAAAGCCAAAGACCAAGATGAAAGCTGAGGAGCTCATCTTGGTTTACTCAGGAAATGTCTTTGGGGGGAGGGGGATTCGTGACTAGTCACTCCTCCCCCCCCCACCAACTTTCTCCTCTCCATTCCATTTGGTAAAATAGCTGTCATTGAATTCGTGCCCGAACCATGGAGGTAGGAGAAGAGTTGAAAGAGTCAAGAACTGCTGTCATTTTATTGAAGCCTACACACATAAAAGCAGAGGTAGTTTCCTCCACTGGGCAGGTTGAAGAGGGGACAGGGTATTGAGTTGCTCAGCTCATGTTCAGCCACTGAACCCAATGAACCATGGTCTCCCTCCCCTCCTTCCCAAGGTCAACAGTGCTTAGATAGGCAACACTTGACACCAACAGAAGTGGTAACTCCAGCCCATATTTCCCCTTTGGGCCGCTGCTGGTCATCATACCTTAGGACTTATTCTCTCTGGCGGCTTCTTCCGCTCTCTCCAGAGAGCAGGGTCTGGCGCTTGGTCATATTAATTTGCCCGTGGTCAATATGGTGGGATAGAGTAACCTACCACACCAGGGGGTCGTTAGCTGGACTGTTACCCTCGTGAATATTAAAGAGACTTCAGGCCAGTGGGGGGATGCTGGACGATTCTATTTCATACATGTGTAAAAGGGGTAGAATTGATTTATGAACAGAGAATTGTTGCAGGCATAAATTTGTTTTAAAAAAATTGCCGGGGTAGTTCATATTTAATGAGGAATGAATGAGCATAGGAAAAAGTGCTGTGACATCAGCTTTTGTTATATGTCGCATCAAGGTAACATAAGTTGCCATATATGTTCAAGCTGTACATCATGTGCACAGCAATTGACTGGATATATTTTGCACAGACAGAGAGAATACTGTATACAATATAAATTTTACCCTCCGGGTACGGTAGTTGTGTGGATTACCAGTACCTCCGTTGGAAAAAAAAAATCGAGCTTTCTTACGACATGTATCTATGTACACGTGCATGTAATGCGGAGTTTCTGGTTTATAAGCTGTAATAAATTTTGTAGTGATTTTGTGGCTGTGAATGATGTGACATTACCACTGACGTTCCTGGAATGACACCATGTCCCTTCATGAGTTTCATCTACTGTGCACAGGGATTCATAATTGTAGAGTAACACCTCTTCTACGTAAGTGTGTGTGTACATAAATTTTCCTGTTCATGTGACATGAGATTCAAGCAAAACTCTCAGCGTCTAATACAAAACAAATATCAGCTGTACAGAGGATTTGATATTATTTTATACAAACACTTTATTCTTACTCCGAAAAGATGATATACTCATCACAGGGAATGACTCGCATCTTTACTTCACAGGGCTGTGTTTGGTGTGTGACTACATGCCTCCGAAAAGATGATATACTCATTGCAGCGAATAACTTGCATCTTAACTTCGCAGGGCTGTGTTTGGTGTGTGACTGCAAGCCTTTTGAGAAATTTCTGAGTTTCTTTAAAAGGATTATCAGTGGCAGTTTGAGTTGTACATCAGCTCTGCTCTCAAAATGAATCGGCTCTCTCTCTCTCTCTCTTTTTTTTTAATGGCTGTTTTCTTTCTAATAATTTCTTCACTCGTGCAGATGTTGGTGAACCTTATGCAACACGCATCTCAAACTGGTAACTTCGGAGCACTTAGCGGTATGCAGCAGTTAGCAAGTGAGTTTAAAAAACATACCAATTGGAGTATTTATATGCTGAAGTCGCTGTGTGTTTTCAGTGGTCTGCTAGGGAAAAAAATACACATGTACATTACCTGACAAGCTGAATCATAATGTGGAAATTCACACAAGACATTTATTTGGCAAAGTGAGGGTTCATTCCATTGGAGTTTTGTCCCTTGTGGGAAACCATTGACCAGTCTCAGATGAACAGAGCATTGCCTCATTTGGTTTTAAAGTGCTTTTTTTTTCATTTTGGAAATTTAATGGAACTTGCATGAAGTGTTTTTGACTGATATCTGCAATTTGCAAGATGAGAGTACTGAGTGAAGGGTGTATTGACACAAAGTATTTACTTCATTCAGTTATATTGCAGTACACTAAGGCTAAAAAAAAAACTCCGTCTCTGGTCAGACCAAAGTTCCAGAATTGATGCGGCGATGTGTTTTTTTTTGGGGGGGTGGCTGTTTAAGACTGGCAATGGACACAAATAATCATATTTGATCAAAGAGCAAAGGCTAGTCATGCCCTCATGCCGCCATTGTTGCTGATCAGCTGGCTGCAACTTTGTACCCTGCCCAAGATCTACTGTTTGTGTTCGACATCAACATTACGCAGTTGTAACGGATCTATCACCAGCTTCGAGCTACCCACGAATTATTCTGGTTCCTTGAACAAATTGCCCTTTGGACTTGTGGCCAAGAATCAGTCTACTCATGAACATTCAGGCAGTGCGGAAATAGAGGGCACTGTTTTGAAAATTTTGACCCAAAAAAATGAAAAAAAAAAATTGACACGTTCAAAATGGACACACGCTCTAACCAGAGACCGACTATTTTTTTGGGGGGGCCTAATCCAAACTAACGTGTTCCTTGTGTAAGTGTACATGTATAGAGGGATATTTCACATTAGCGCCGTCTGCGCATATCCGCATCGAAACCGAGGCTCTCTGTGTTGAACTTCGTCACGCGCGCCCGCGTAGGCGACATAGTATATGCAGTACCCACTTCGTAAGTGTGACACCACTTCAGTTTAAATCACGCCCGCTGCACATGCAGATACACGACCATGGCAGGCATGTTAGTTCGCGGTAAATTGCTATTACTTTTTCTTTTGATTTTACGTGTCGACTCTTCCACAAAAATTTGCAGCCTGGAAAGTCTGAATTTAACACACCTTTATGTATTTTGTGTCTTGACTCCTTACTTTCAATCATCTGATCGTATTAAGAATTGGAGCTGACACATACAGCCTTGTTTTCAAACGCGGCAGTGCGCAGATTGATGCTAAAAGCGTCGTATTTGGACCCCTCTAGTGGCAATTCACAAGATCAGTGAACTGAATGAAGGTAATACTTGTATATTGAGACAATTTGCGCATGTACACGTACTTATTCATTGCAGTAGATATTGCAGCACACTGCTAGACGCTGCGAGGTATTTAAATACTGGTTCATTTTTCTGAGTTTCATTGGCAGGAGATACGATGACAGTTTCAAAGTGAACCCGGAAAAGAATGGAAGATTTCATCATTGGTCTGTTTTGGTTTTTTTTTTTTCCCCCCCTCGCTGCAGCACTGGCCAGCCAGAACACAGCTGGAGCAAATGTCGCTGCAGCGGCGGCAGCGGCCGCTGCGGCCGCCGCTGCCAACCAGTCATTACAGGGAATGGGTAACACAGGTGAGTAGGAGGGGAAAAATATTGCCCCGCACTCTACCAGATGCCGCCCACGAGAGCAACATGCTGAGGCATGATGTGATGAAGTGCTATCAAACTTGATCCCGAGGGGAAATTTAGAGTGAAAGCAGTACTGAAAGAGGAAGTTTGAAAGGTCATGGATTCTGTCTCCGTCTCTCTCTGTTGGAATATTGCATCATGTCCTTTCCCTAGTACAAAAGACCCCCCCCAGTTTTTGGATGCATTTTATTGGACATCTTTCCACATCAGCAGAAAACAGAACGGAACATTCAGTCCCGCAAAACTGTGAAGAGTGGAGCAATTTTTGGACAGGCCTCACCAGCTTCTTTTTTTTTCCATGAAAGTTTTTTGACAACCTCTCAGAGATCATCTTTAAACAGTGACGTGAGATCTTAGATCAAACTATTTCCGACCTTGGCATTTACAAAAAGCAATTTAAACCGCAGACGTGGACGTCATCACAGTTGACCCAAGGGTGGTTTGTCTATACATTGGAAGTGTTTCTGTTCCTGTCAACAAGCTTGCTTCATGAGATGTAGCTCTTTTTTATTGGGTTCATTTTTAGTTTTTTCTAAGTACTTGATAGACTCTTCAGAAGTGAATAGTACTAAATTCTCTCAAGCTTTTGGCTTTTAGGGGTAGAGTGGTTGGTCTGAAATGTTTTTGTTGTCGTTCTTACATGTTAACTGGTCTGCAAAAGTGTGACTTTTTGTGTAATTTTTTTCTGTTTGTGTCGTGTTGTTTTTTGTGAAAGCACGATTACAAACAAATGTAACATATTTTCTCTCCACCCTTGCTTGTGCTTTGACAAAATTTATGTTGAAAAGTTTTCCCTTCTTTCCCGAGGCACGAATGGGATTGCATTGTAACTGTCGGCAATCTTGTCAAGTCTGTTCTTTTTCGTTGTCTTTTTTTTCTCTTCTCTAAACCTATTCAGAAGGTTCCCAGTAAAGATGTGCGACTCAACTTGAAGCGTTTTCTGAACGCAGGCAAACCTCTGATTGTTTGTCCGAATGGTTTTTAGTCCTGAAGACTAGTCTTCTCTGTGTTGTTGACTTTCCATGTTGATTGCTGTTGGAAAGAGAAAGGGGAAAAGGCTGTTTGTTGTCTTGTGAAGTTGTGATATTAGTTTTGTTGTTTTGACGTATGTTTGTTGACCAATTCGAAAACCTCTGAAAAGTATGCAAGCCATAAGAATAAGAACCCATTTCTTTTTCTCTGTCAGATTTACTGATCCAACTGATACGTTTAATTTTTTTTTTCAAACAACTGTCAAGGTTCATTAAGAGCTACTTCCAATAAGCTTTGGAAAATGTTTCACAAGAAGTGAGTTATTCTGTAAGAATTTATACATTAACTAGAAATGTATCACTTTTTAGAAGATTGAAGGTAACATTCTGGTAGTATGGAAAATCCTGCAGAAAGAAACTTGTGAAGGTTTCACGCAACATTGCCACATTGTATTATGCAGAAGGGACCCCAGCCATTAACAGTACAGACGGAGTGTGTTTTTTACTTGTCTCCTTTTATGCATTGCCTCATTTGAATGATTTGTATTCTCCAGTCAATCAGGCCCTTTTGGAAGAACCATTGTATTCATTCAAGGACCAATCAGAGCATTCTTTGGCAGGCGGTACCCTGTACAAGAGTGAGTTTTTTTTGTTTTTTTTTTTACAGTTGCTTCGGTGACTTCTCTTGTTACCACCTGTTTTAACCTCCCAATGAGTATTAATATTTCTGTACACAGTGGTGGAGTGTGGGTTACTTGGAAGGGCAAGGTTTACACGCCTATATTGGGATCATCATTGCAGTGGTTTTTTTTGTGTCTCATTAACTGTTTTCCATTTTGTGTTCCAGCCTTTTCCCCTCTCTCACTTTCTCAGTTTCCCAGGGGCATTTCCCACCATTTTGTGTGCACTCTCCTGGTCGTCTTTCATTTAAATGAACACAGTAAAGCCCTGTATGTGCAGTTTTTTGTTTAAGTTTGTACCTGTCTGCTAAAAAAAAATGGGATGACTGTTTTATTCGTTATTCGGATTATGTGTTTACATGTTCTTTGTTTCCTTGTGTTCGTGTATGAGTTTATCATAAAACAAGTCATGGTTTACATCATAACAGAAACAAATTTCAGAAATGAAATTCATGTCCACTTTTGGGTTTAAGAGTTTACATAGCCAGCATGCAATGTAAAGCTTATCGGAAAAATACCTAATACATTAACATTAACGTGATTTGTAAATTAATGCAAACAATCATTTCTGATACTTGCAGATCACTATCAGCCCATTAAGAAAAATACCATTAGTTTCAATGAAAGTTGTCACTTAAAAGCTTCCAATCTAAATTACAAAGCTTGAACCAAAAAAAAAAACCTGCTGCGTGAGAAATTTATTATGGATGTATTTGCCCGGTCCGGCTCTTCCGGACATGAAATGTAACACATGCACACAAGAGGGGGGACATTGACAAGCCAAATGTTGTCATTTGGCAAGTTCCAGCACTGACTATAGTCAGCTATGGTTTGACTAACATTGCCCGAATGATGGATCGTTTGGCGCATCTAGCCGACCATTTGGAATCGAGCCCGAGGGCATGGTCCCTGCCGCTAGTTGTCGGTAGACAATACAGTTCGACAGTATGGAGGGAACCATTTCACATGAAAATAACTTCAGGAGGTGTCATTTGACCACGTACACCACAAGATTTGTAGCCTGTTCCAAAATGTGACGATTAGATTTTTAAAATAGTTCAATAGAGCCTTTTGAATGAGGCTGAATGGGACTTCCGCAAGGTTAAAAAGCAGTTGACCAGTGGTCAACCTATACATGCAATTTACTCCTCTCAAACTTGCCCTATTGGTGTTTCAAGTGTCAACACACCACCACAGATGCACCTGCAGATGCGTGCTTAAATCTCAAGAAATGCAGTGCAGCTGCAGATCTGAGAATCATTAGAAGGCAGTCTGGGCAACCTTCACCAGGCACTGCCCACTGGGTGTGTCTGCGTATTTGCTCAAAATTCTTGCATTTCTCTCTTTCTTTGCCTGTGATAAGTCGCACAGTGCTTCTGTCAGGTCAGATCAGTCAAACAAATCGTACACAACATGCAGAGTGTGTGCAGGCGTGGCACACATTGTGCGGACCTCTGCACAAGAGAAGTCCGCATGCGATGGCGTTGTGTGGACTCGCACACGTCCACACAACGTTTTGCCCTCTGAAAAACAGTTTCAGAGGCATTTTGGGGTCAGTGTTATCTGTGGCAAAATGAAGAGGAACAGTCCAGGAAGTCGTCATCCAGCTCAAAAATCCAGCTCGAAGGAGTTATCCTAATTGGAGAAAACGGAGCATTTTCCTCAAGTTTCCTTAACCACGGGAAAACAAAGGAATGTCCACACTTTGTATGTAAAAACAGATAGTACTGGGTGGGCGGGTGTGTGTTATCTTGTTTTCGTGATGCATCAGTGGATAACAAAAGTTGTCTGTAACAAATTAGCATTTTGTGTTTGCATATACGAGTACACCCAAACAAGTCACAGATGCACACACATGCACGTGCATCTGAAGCACGAATCCACCACTCCGGTCACCTATTTTGCATTTGGACATGCACTGCAACAGGCACGGAACTTAACATTGCATATAATTATGTAACTGTCAGGAATCAGTTGACGTACAATGTGCAGTTTGTGTTGATATGGTCATGTGTCATCTCGTTCGGTCTTATTGTCTGGTGCCTTTGTTATTCTAAAAGGGGTCTTGAGATTTTTCTGGGTTTTGAGGTTAACACGATTCATGTACATGTCGGTAGACATTGTGTGGTGCTGAAAGCCTCTTCATTGCAAGATGTGGGTGCTCTATTTCTGAAAGCATTCCACGGTGGGCTTTTTAGTATGTTTCAATGTACCTGTGTGGATAGCAAAGCCATACAGTGTCACAATTTTTTATACTTGTATGTAGTTTGTTGTCGGTTGTTTTGAATGTATAGGGCAGGCTTCATGACTGAAACTAATGTTCTTGTTTGCAGATGAATAAAAAGCAGCGGTCGACAGGGGGGGACATGTTATTTATTATGAAATTCTACATGAGCAAAAATGTCCTGACATTTTTTCCATGCCGTCACACACTAGCCAAAGCATAGCGGCAAATGTTTGCAGCCGTTTTTTAATCAACCGCCGCCAAAGTGGCGTGCACTGTCATTGAACCCCAGTTCTTTTGTATTCACAGCAGCTTGCCCCTTTGAGGCGGCATTTGCTATAATTGCAGGCCCATTGATCAAAGCTGCCTAAGGTGATTAGAATCCAGGGGACCTTCAATTCCGTCATTCCCTCTATGTTTTTTCTTTTTCATTTTTAAGCGGACTTGAAGAAAGAAAATTGTGATTTGATCAGGGACGTCGACCGCTGCTTTTTTGCCCCCTCTTCTTTGTGTTTGTTGTGCATGTCTCTCTGTTTTTGTTTTTGTTTGTTTCAGGTGCTGGTACCTCTGGCGCCAGCCGCTCAGGTAACAGTTCCTTTGGCAACCAAGGAGGAGCTGGTTCCTATGGCAACCAGAGCGGTAATGGTTCCTTTGGCAACCAGGGAGGCAATGATTCCTATGGCAACAACCAGCCCAGTGATAATGGCACCTTTAGCAACCAAGGGGCCAGCAGCAGTGGCCCCAGCTTTATGGGTGGTGGGCTGCAATCCGGAGCTCAAGGTTAACATCTTAAAGAACAAAACGAGAAAATCCATGAATTATGCATATACAGTGTCTCGTTTAAGTGCATCCAAAGACAACTGGTACCCTAATGTGTTTGCACTGATACCCAACTGGCTGCATCAATCAAACGTGCATTTTATTTACTTGATACAAACTGCGTGAGCTATGCTTCAGTGACATTTTTCTTTTGGTGATGGTAAATGAAGTGAAAGACAGGGAAAGAAAGCAAACATTGGACTACAGGAAACTGATGGTGCATGCTGCATATGCTCCCACTAAATATGGTTTTAAGTGGCAGTCGTTCATTAATAAGCAGAAGTTCTGTTCCAGCAAAAGGGATAGATGCCGTGGGCTGACATGTTAGGAAATTATCACAGTCTTTGGTCTTAACGCTCAACCGTTCCTGACATTCTCCCAAATGAAGCATCCTGTAAATGGTGGCAGTGCTGAGAAGCAGTGAGTGTGGGTGATTTCATGGCTTCATATCCCATATCCCTGCACTTCAACAGAGTGTGCTAGTTGACCCTAAAAAGCAAGAATTTTAAGAACAGAAGGAGGTGATAATGATGTCAGGGATTTGACCTTTAAAGCAGTCGTGCCCTTATAGATGTTATAGTGGCTAGAGGATCGGCACTTGTTACACAGACTTCCACTTGAAATTTGTTGATGAAGTCTTGAGACCAGCACGCTGTAGTATACGTGTAAATTTGAAGTGCCAAAATCATTTCTGGACTTAAGCCACGGCTTTTGCTTTTCATGAGTGTACGGGAAGTGAGATTTCCGTCCTTAAGCTGCCCCCACACGGATGCTCTTTTGGGAATTAAAAAAAATCAGTGTCGTGGTACCGGCCCCTGTGCAGTTGTCCTTGTGATGGTCTCATTTTCGCTCAACATGGGTCTTGTAGGTTTGTTCGATTTTCTGTCTTTCCGTCTGGACCCTTTGTCAGTCTGACTGTGTCTATTTGGGTGTCTCACTTGTGCCACAAGCATTAATAACAAGTGGTGTCCGCTATCATTCAAGGGTCAGAAAATCGAAAAGTTTCCTGACTCCTTTCTGCAGAAAAGGAGTGATTGTTATTACAGGGCCTTGTTCGATGTGAAGAGAACACTTCAAGAGACCTTGCACAATTTCTGAAAAATCTGATTGACATGCACTTACTGTCATGTTAAGACATCAGTTAAAAACTGATGCGTCAAATCTGCAAATCTTCCAAACAGTAGTTCTCCCGCCGACATCTCATTTTTGCATCTGTAGCACTGTTGTGATAGATTGATGCAAGTCAGGGTTAAAATTAACTTGTCACTGTCCAGTCCAGTGGTATTGTCCTCCAATTGTTTTTGGTACTGTGTTAAAACTTCGTCCAGTTCCTGTTTGCTCGTCTGTTCAATGCGTTTACTGGTTTGCCTTTTGGTCATACGTGTTAAAGTCTGACCAGTAAATGTGGCCGAGTTTTACATTACTCTTCCGCTGAGCAATGCTTTAATGCCGTTCTGTGGTGTTCAGATCTGCGCTGGGTCATACATGCACTTCGTACTGTGAAGCTGCCCTTTTTTTTTTTTGTCTGTCCTGTCTGCCCGTGTCTCTTCCCCCATCTGTGTACATGCATGTTGGTAGATGTGCAGTCCACTTTGCCATCATGTTGTCCCGTCTGTCTGTCTGCCCCCCCTTACCCCCGCTATCTTTGTTTTCAAGCTCTGTTCATCTCATTGGATTTTTTGGGGGGTGATGTCTGGCCTGACTCTCTCTTCAGCCTAGATATCCCTCTCTCGGGTTTTTCTTTTTTTGCCTGTCCATTAGTTATAGTCTGTTTGTATGTTACATCGTGTATTTTTTTTAGTGATAAAGTTCACCAGTGGCGGTCTTTTTCTTAATGTCATCTGCCCAAACCAGGAAAATTAATTTGTAACTGTCCTGTCCCTTGTCCAGTGAATGTGTCATTTTCTATTAATGGGTCAGACTACATGTACTGGCAAACCCCCCATCTTACTTTTCATGTTGGTGTTACTTCTCTTTGTCCCTCCAACCTGTAATCTGTGCGATACATCGTCTTTAGTCCTTGTCCTAGCAAAAACTTCCCGAGCCAGAAAAGAGGCAACCCCCTGCCAGCTCTTGGTTCCTCAGATCTTAAGTGTCACACGGGAGGGGCTAGGGGCAGAATCACTGCCCTTTTTTGGGGGGGCATCACCTGTACTTAATTGAAACCACACCTGTTAATTTTGTCATACAGCAGATAACTTGATTAGTACGCCACTGTTTGGAGGCTGTCTTTTTCCTTACACTTTTCTTCATAATACCATCTCCTTTCTCTCCATTAGTTTACTCGTACTCTACCGTTCATTTTGTTTCTCTAATCTTGCATTGCATTCTAAACCTCACTTTGACTCGTTCTTGTACTTATCCATATTGTTGATTTTTATTTCCGGCTGTCCTAAATTGTAAAAAGTGCTGTTTGTGCATAATAAAGAAGCAGCAGATTTTTGGAGAGCGAATTTTGGTGAGATGAATCAAGTTGCACATTTTTTTTATTTTTGGTACTAAATTATGTTAGAGATTTTGTTGGTGTTTGCTTTCAGACACGAATTGTCCAATCTTGCGTTGTTTTGTCATGGCAGTAGAATTTCATGAGATATCATTTCCAGTGCAAATTAATTGCACCATATCCGAACAAATTTTTAAATTTCCATCTGGTGCCCAGTCATACAAATCTCCATACTAAGACATGGGTTCAAAAAAGTGTCTTACACTCAGCTGGCATCCTTGGGAAAAAAGTGCCTTTGTTCCAACACAGTAATGTATAATTTTCTCTAAAATATCCAAATGAAACTCCAAAGAAATTCCACCCATGCCTGATAAAAGATTTCTTTCCACACCCAATCCCATTTTTACAGGCACTGGATCGAGCACGGCAAACTCTAGCAATCTGTCAGGACTTTTGGGCCTCCAAGCATTAAAAGGTTGCCATCCTAATCATGTCATTTGTTGTTGCTGTCGTGTTTCTTAATGCCTGAACTTGTGAATGATTTGCATGCATAATGGGTGTTTGTGTGATGAGTGGTGCTCGTAATGTTCCAGTTTGCCCTTTTTGGGTTCACATCCACTTCCAAGTGATTGTGTTGGCTTTTCACTCATAAATTTGTCATTTTATTTATTCATTTTTTTTTATTACAATTCAGTGGGTATATTTCTAAATGGCTTTTTTAAGAACCAAAGTTCTGTAAACACAAGTATATATACATGTACATGTATAGCAGTCTAATTTTTAATCACATTTTTAAGTACATGTATGCTTCTTGATCATTCATTACTGTTCATACTATTTTTTGTGATGAAGAATATTAGACTTGACAGCATTTGATTTTTAACGTTGACTTTTTGCCTTCGACTTTATGCTTCATTTTGCACTGGTACCCATACCAAACCCAGTTGCATGTCATTTGCACTCAATTGCATGTCATTTGCATTCATTTGCATGTCATTTGCATTCATTTGCATCTCTTTTAGGGGTGTACCCCTCCCCTACCGCTGTCACTGCTCGTACCGCTCTTCTCCACGATCCTCAGAAACGTAGGTTTGGTCGTGACCTTTTTTTTTCTCCGTCATTGCTGTGTGGCCATGTCTCATTGTCCATCTGTCAGCTTCCGTATCATTTTAACATTTTGCCATTGTCATGTGTCCTGTGGAAAAAAAAAAAAAAGGAACCTTGGTTGCTGTGATCTATCATCGGCAGAACATGGGTATCGACGTGTACCAGTTGTGAGACTGGTAAACGTCACTCTCACGCATTGCTTTCATCTGTGCCAAGTTGTGAGTGAGTTCGCCAGTTGTGTGATGTGGCTGCAGTGCCTGTATATTAATCCCAAGCATGGTATGGCCTGACTTTGCAAAGGTGATTAAGTGCACTCTGCGATAGTGGTTTGTCAGCTGTTCTTGATTTGTTTCATTTGATCGCAGGGTGGGAAAGTCGGCAAGTTATTGTTGCATATCACAATAAAATAACAGCAATGTGTGTCAGCTAATCAAGAAACGGATTTTAAAACTTTTGGGAATTTAAGAACGTGTTCTTCATCAAATGGTAGGGCTCCAACATCTGGGTTTTTTCCATGATAAATATATCGTGTGTTTGTTGTTAATTAAGACTTTCCAGTAAAGTGGGTTTTTCCAGGGGGGGGGGGACACTACGAAATTGAACGTAAATTTCATCCATGTCTTCAAACATTAGGCTTGCCACTGCTGTGTAGTGTCTTGTGACTTGTATGCATCTGTGGCTTTTCATGAGTTTGCTGAGGGGTTTTTGAAAGATCCTCCATGCAGAAGCTTCAGCTATAAAATTGAGAAAAAGGGGGGGCTGGGTCCTGCTTCAGCTAGGATAATGGCAGACACTGGACACGTGGGGGGGGGCTCTCAGCCCATCTTCGCTGAAACCTAGTCATTGAAATGTGACCGGCTCTAGAAAAATGGGTACTAAGTTGCCAGATGCAGGTTTTTGAGTTTTTGATATAGCTAGATTCTGTACATTCATCAAAAGCTACAAAAAGCTCTGCGTTCCAGAGATATATAGACATATGTATATCCACATTTTTGGATACAATAAAAGCACTTTTTGAGAAAAAGCTCAGAAAGTGTAGCACTTGGAAGCACAATGCTATACAGGATGTCTTACTGAATGATCAATTTTTCATCGTATGCATCAGTATCCATGTTTGTAGTTACAAATCTAAAAATTTAAATATTATAGAAGCTATTAAAGGAAAAAAACCAAAAAATGACATTTTTGAAGAAATGTTGCCCTCTCCAAATGAAAGAGGCCATTACACGTGTTTTGGAATTGCGTGACTTAATACCCTTTTTTACAGAGCGGGTCACAAATGCAAGTCTCACTGCAGGCTTGGTATTAAAACCTTTACCCAGCCTTTCAGGTAGACTTTGCCAAGAACCATGAATCAAAAAGTGCAGTCCATTGACTTATTTCATTTGGGCTTATTAGTCGTAATGGATGGGCTGTTACAGAGGTCAGCCATTGCTTTGATTGCTGAAAGAAATGCGCCACAGTGTTATAGTGAATGCCAAATTACGGATGCAGTTTCACCTGTATTGCGCTTGCTGAGATTTGTGCTGGCAAATATAAACAGATTCTTTTCCTTGATTTCCTCATCAGCTATTCAGTTGGCACGTTGTGCAAAGTCTGTTGATCATGTGCAAGTCGCGTTGTTGATTGTGTTCGGTCATTGTGTGCATTGTGTTCCTGTGAATATCGTTGTGACACCAGGCCAACCAAATTCTTTTACCCCTGATTATGTATTTTTCCTGAAGAAACAGTGTCAAGTCATTTATTTGATTTATATCAGTATCTGTACATCCTTATAAAGTACTCTGTCCAGGGAGCATACAAATGATGTTCAACGTTAACGTGAACACAGAATACGTAAGAGCAATTCCTCCTGGTGATTTTCATTGTAAAATAACTAGCTTTGGAAAGGGAAGGAAGGACGTGTAGTTTGGCAGAGTGTGTGTTTTCACACCAGTTTCTCAGTTGGAATCTACCTCAGCCCCTCACGTTATTCCTGTGATTGATAAGATTGTGCATTCCTCCACTGCCTCGTTAAATTTATCCTTGAATTTTTGGCACCTTCCACAGCGAGATACCGGTATGTGGCTTTGATCAGCGCCATATGTTCGCCGCTGTGAATATCCCTATCCTTTAATTGCATCGTCTCTTCAAAGTGTGGTAACTGTGGATGGTCTGGAGTTGTCCTGTACTAGAGGCAGTAGGAAACATGCACCGGACTTTGGCGCACACCTAAACCCCATCGCAGAACTGAAAATTCAATCTTTTTTTGGTTAGCCTTGACTTCCAAGCCTGACGTTTTGAACGTTGTGATATTGTTTTTAATTTTGAAGCAAATGCAAATGACTACATTGTCTCTACACTTACAGGACAACACTGTTTGCTTACTGTGCCCCTTTGCTGGGCAGTTGGTGAAATAACTGTACATGGAACTTTGGCAATTTCTGGCACAAAGTGACAGGAAGAATTCCTACCACTTTCATATGGCACAGTGGTCTCCTTCTTTCCCTCAGCACTTTGTCGTGAACGAGAGTGCAGTGTAACCTGCTGAATTTACCAGATTCGTTATTTCAAGAGGCAACTTTGCAATTACCCAGGGTGTGAGTTTGCGCACCAGACATTCGAAATCAAGCCTGACCAGCATAAGTTTGACACCCAGCAAAACTAACCCGTCCCTAACTCATGCGGAAGACTCGGCGGTCATTGAAAGGAGAAATGTAACACTCTGCATCCGCAGAGGTGGCATAAAAATCTCATTTTGTGTACTTGCAAAGTTGCTTGCGCACCGCTGTTTCTAATGAGACTTGTAGGACTCACACTCGGTCACTCTCCTCACAGGAGCTATGATGGGGAACACAGGGTCCTGTCTATCTGGGTCTGGCTTTGGACTCAGCGGAATGCCAGGTATATATGTGAATTGACTGTGGCCCTGCCACATGAGAGCAATACGCAGGCAACTGGGCTTGAGCATCCATGTAACCTCCAGTGTTGTAGTCGAGTCCTTTTCCATGTCCCACAAAAATAACAAAATACAAGATGAAACAGGAGTCAAGTTTAAAAAACTGTGCAATATGTTTGCAGTAGTAACACTTTTGGTTGTGAAATTCAGTTCAAGAGTAAGAACTCGGACTAGATCTTAATATGTCCTTGCGTACATGTGCTTTTGTCATTTGTGAGTCCAAATACTTCTGTTCCTTCATATTAAACTAACTCGGCCAACAATGCATTGTTGCATTATACTTTGACCTGGATTTCAACTATGTCTCATTTATGTTTTCAGTTTACATCCGGAGATTCAGACTTGGAAAAGGACCAGACTGCGGCATTTAATTTAGTTTAGATATCGGAGGGGTTGGCACAAAATGTTAGAAAAAAAATACCTTGCACTGCAGAAGTGTTCCTAGTATTTGCAGTCCCCTCCAGTTGCCGCCAAGTTGCCTGTGAAAATTGCCTCAAGTGACTTGGCCCAGTATGTGTGGGTGTAAATTGTGTCTTCTGCTCTGCATACGTGTGCGTGAGCTGTGAGGAAACTGGAATTGTCTTGTCACATGTCGTTTCTGGCCCAACCTGGGAAGAATCAGGAACAGTCAGTCAGATTAAGCAGTTATTTCACTGCTATTGGCTGCAACAGTTTTTTTTTTGTTGTCTGAATGTGACTTGAAAAGCTAGATGTCAAATTTGTAGTGACGGGTAGCAGTCACTGTAGCAAAAAAACAAGGCAATGGTTTTCTTTCCAAAGTCAAAAAGTTATTCCTTCAACCTGTTGCATCCCTGCTTTCATGATTTCCTCACTTTTCCTGCCTTGGGCCCTGTTTGTCACTTCAACCGTCTGCTTGCATCTTTATCATTCTTGGTGGTTTGAGGGTTTCGATTTTCGAATATTTACATATACCTTCAAGCAAACTTGAATCCTTGATGCTGATTGGTCGAGTCTACATGTATATGGGACTCTCAATGTTCCACTAATCCGGTGGGTAAGCATGTTGCATCTCTTGCTTGAAACGATGCAGAGGTCAACGGTCCACTGTGCCTTTAAGTGGCTTTTGTGTGTCAAGTTTGCTTGAAGATTGGCTTTCTCACTTGCATGCCGTGGAACAGGGAATAGTGTAGCACATCTGCAGCCCACGTTGCTCTGGAATGCAGGGAATGTGAAATGGAGATGGGTGTCACTATTCCGTTTCCTCTCGCTCTCTCAATAATATCATATTCACCACGTTAAACTGCATGTAGTCTGGTCTGTTTCATCAGCGCCTGCTGGCATTTTTGGTATAATAAAGATGAGGGCCTACACCAGCTAGTGTCTCTATGTAGATGAGTTTGTTTCTGAAATTCAATGGGGACCCTGAACAATAGAGGACATTAAGGTCCCCGATTGACAGAGGGTCCCTGATTGACAGAGGGTCCCCGATTGACAACTGTGTACGAAACATATAGGTGGTCTTCTAAAAAAGTTGAAGTACAAACAAAAGAGGAACAATAGGGGGTCCCCAGTTGCAGGCAAATACACACTTGTATGAGTGGCCCCCCTCTGTCATGCACTCTATTTCCTATGCTTCTCTGTCATTCTGTTTGTTCAGTTGCTGTGAAGCATGCCATAAAAACGCATTTTTTTCGTTGGTGATGTCAGTGACAGCTTTGTCGTGAATACTTTTTTTTCTGTGTTCGTTATTTAAAACCACCATTGGGAAACCAGTTTTTAAGTTTTTAAAGAAAAAAAAAAAGCAATTGTCCCTTAAATTTGATATCCAAAACGAACAGGCAGTAAGCCGCTACGGGCATATCCTGGCCAGGCTGCAGAACGTAACGTGCATGGCACGTGGGACACACAGGGTAGGTGGGATTGAAGTGGTGTTTGAAATGGTTTGCTGTTTCCTTGGTCCAAAACAAAACAATCCTGTGTGCCGAGTTCCACTGGGAGAGAAGCCCGTCACGTAAAATTGTCCCATTTTTGAGTAGTGCCACATGCCGAGTGAATGCGTGTTTCAAAGTCTTCCAGACAGCTAGCTGGCGTTTGACTCATCCTTTGGGTTACTTCGGAAAGGGAACAAATTTTCTGTGAGAGTCAACAGCCAACTGAGAGCTGTTCCGTTGTCTCCTCGTGCTTTTGCCTGAATGTGAAATGGGGGGGGGGATTTCATGAGGCCAACAGCACAAGGAGACCGTGCGGTGTATTTGCATCCGTACACCCTGCTGTGATTTGTGCGACCTGCATTGTGTGCCTGTGTCATTTTGTGTGTGTCGGCCCATTCCGGTGTGTGTCTGTACATTTACTAAAACCATGCTCTGTAGAAGGCTGCTTCATTTCACCTGTTTTCCTGCACATCATAGCAAGGCTGTCACCAGAAATTCAGCATGCCATGCCTCTACCACTTTTTGTGGCAGAACCACTGTGCTCACCTACACGGACAAATTCGAGAATTGGGGGGAAAAGTTGTCAAACCCGGTCCAGACATTTTTCTTGTGACGTATTTTCTATTAGGAGGCTCATTTGTTTAACAATTTCACTCACGAGAGCTAGCCAAAATGGACGTGGAAAGGACAATTTTTTGTTGTTGAGTACTACCCCTGAGTCAGCTCAAAGGATGCCATCTGACGTGTTGATATTTCTTCCTTTGACAGAGAACATTCAAGTTTAACGTGTAGATTTCCAGCATTCCATTATTTCATTGTCAACTTCCTTTTTGTCCATGTTTCCCTTTTTCTATACTCCTAGTGTTCGCTGGCATTTCAGTAGCAGCGCACAGTGCAGGGGGGGGCTGAGGAACAATTTTTGGTACAGCAGTTCTAAATAATATAACAGGTTCCAGTTAAGGGAAATTGATCCGGATGCTACTGTTATCGGCCTATTCCCCAAAAGTCGCAAAGAATCGGATCCATTGCGGCATAATTGCATCAGTACTTTACGCTTTGACCCTGAAGGTTCGGGCATGGGCAGTGGAATGAGTGGGATGAACGGGCTTGGCTCTGGGTCTGGTTTCGGAGGTGGCCTCGGAGCTGGCAATTCTAGCACAACTGGACTGGACTTAAATGCCCTGACACAGGCCTACTCAGGAATCCAGCAGTATGCAGGTAAAGGCCTATGACCAAGTACTGGACTCACTTTAAAAAAAAAAATGTGGAAACCATGGCCCAAAATGTGAATGTGTCAAAATCAAATATTTGGTGACAGTGGTGGGATTCAGTGGGGGAAATGGGATACCCCAAGTGATGCCACTTATGGAGCTGAAACCATCCCCTCCCATTAAGGACAAGCTTAGCACATTGCTGTTCGGTGCTCATCTTAACAGTTTTGAGGCTGTCTTACGCAAGCCTTGCTACCTCAGCTATTTTGTGACCCATTTTGGAGAACAGCCTGCTCTGTCCTTGTCTTTTAGAATCAACCCAACAGTGTGGCACTCGCCCCATATTTTGTCATTTTTCTCACCTCCACTACCTTTTTGTCCACTTACCACGACTCAATGCCGTGTCTTTGCAGTGTTTGTAAAAGTCACACCCTTCTGCTATTTGGTGAGGTTGTGTGAGAATTTCTTCACCACTGAAGTGCAGTCGTTTGTTTATTTCTTACCCCACTGGAAATTGAACATGAAATGTAATTTGTCAACCTTGCATGCTATTTTATTAACCACTTGCTGCCGGGTGGAATTTGAAGTTGCATGACACAAGACAGGAGATATTCAAGATTTTCCATTTTCAAAATTCTTCAAAAAATCATAGCTTCATTTACTGGATGGTTACACCCACATGGATAACTGTCTTGTGACTACTCTAATCTGACGGACAAAATCTATTGACGCCTGAGTATTTCAGCCAGGCTTGCCGCCAGATAAAAAGAGCTCTGATTGTGCAGTGTTACATATGTTTCTTTTGTTCCCGAAACTGGCACAGTGCACGGCTGGCGTCTTTCAAAATGGGCCAGATTAGCATGCAGAGGTGTTGTATCGCTCATCACTGGAGCGCTTTTGTCCTCGGTAGAAATCCGCTCACGCTGAATGCCACAAACAGTGGATAATCTTTAATCTTTCAAAACAATGACGGATTTCCTTCTCTATTGACAACCAAAAAAATGTTAGCAACTCCCAGCAGCTCTGTCTTTTGTTCAGAGTACGGTCTTTTGTTATAAGGCCCAGCTCTTTTGTCCGGTTTCGGGGTCCCCGGTTTCGTGTATAAAGCCTACATGTATGCGCCCGAAACCGGGCTCCCTAGCAGCATATGGTTAAAGCTGGTTTGGTGCTTGTCATTAACTTTCCAGAGCATTCCCATTTGACGCATCTATGCAGGCACACAATGAAGTAACTGTCACTTGGAAATTAGTATCATCATCTCTTGCTGCTCCGTGCTGCAATACATTTATCGGATCGTTTCAACAGCAAAGTGGTGCCCAAAGTTTGTCGAGTTTTGTTTGTACCAATCCCCATGAGAATATCAAATCCAATTCTGCAAAAAACTTGTTGGGCATTTGCAAAATAGAATTATGAAATCAGTCACTTGATTGGAAAAGTGTTGAAAAGAAAATGAGACTGGGTCAAGCTTAACAGATCACATCACAAGTGGTTCATGTAGGGAATTGATTTTCCTGAACACCGTTTACAACCTTTGGTTAATAGTCATAGCAGATTCGGCTTCAAGAATCAAGGATATTTTGAGTTCAGTTTCAGGTGGTTAGGATGGGGTGAACATTTCATAATCAGTTGTTTATTTGTCATGGTATGTCACCTAATTTTGTCCATATTTCCTTCTCTCTCCAGCACAATTTTCAAATGGACTGGGAGCCAATTACCAACAGCAGACACTTAATACAAAGCAAAAGGAAGGTAATGACAAAAATGAAGTTATTAATATCTGGCATGTGCCTCCATCTGCGATACTTTTGTTTTTATCGGAGGATTCAATTTATTCCTCATACATGCCCACCGCAAAACTACTTACTTGCCCCCATTACCTACTGTGGTTCTCACTTGTTGTAGAAGTGGAAGTTCAAAACAGTTGCCCTTTGAGAGTAGCCATCATTAAATTTGACAACTAAAAGGTTTCAGCACACATTTCAAAGCAAACAGTGGGCTGAAATCAGTTGCCCACAGATAATCCTGTTGAGGCTTTACGGGGTTGCCATCTTGGAGGGCAGTTCTCATTTTTCAAATGGGACCCTCTTTGTGCATACCTTGTGGAAGAAAAGCACTGGCGTGCTAGATGGCAGCCAGCTAAACCCCCACTATCAGATGTGGTGTGTTCAGTTTTTTACACAGTAGATGTAGTGCAGCTCAATTGAGACTTTCTGTTCATTTGCCTGCTACGCTTGGCAAGTAGGTCCAGAAGGCGCGAACCTGTTCATCTACCACCTCCCGCAAGACTTCACAGACGCCAACCTGCTGCAGATGTTTTTACCCTACGGCAACGTGATCAGTGCCAAGGTGTTCATCGACAAGAACACCAACCTCAGCAAGTGTTTTGGTGAGTACATAATCCTTTCCAGAGCTGTTTATAGAGGAAGTTGGGACATTAGTGTCTCAATTGTTGGAATCAAAATGGTGGATTATTTGCCAGTGCACATTGAATTGCCATTTTGGTGCCAAAATGGCGTGACTCTTTCTATACACAGCTCTGGTCCTTTCAGTTCTGTGACTGAAGCAGTTCTGCATGGCCGGGGTCTCCGAACTCGGACAAAGGAAACAGGGCCCTGTAACAAAAGACCGTAATCCGAACAAAAGACCAGGCTGCTGGGCATTACCGACATTTTTCACTCTCAAAAGTGGTGATAATCCAGTCTTGTTTTGAAACCGTATACCAGGGTTTGGGGCATTGAGAGCGAGGGGATTACCACCGGGGACAAAAGCGGTCCACCACCGCAGCGATGAGCCACACAGCACCACTGCACGCTAATCTGGCCCCTATTGAAAAGAGGTCAGTGGTGCACTGAGCCAGGTTCGTGAACAAAAGACAGTTATACAACACCGCATAATCTGGGCTCTGTTTACAAGGCTGCAGGCCTGGCTGAAATACTCGGGCGTCAATGAAGGTCACCTGTCAACTTACAGTAGTGCCTAAAGATTACTTGTGCGGCTATAAACGACCGTTAAATGAAATGATGAATTTTTGAATGAGATTTTGAAAACGGAAAAAATGATAGTCATGCCGGCCCATCATCATCTTTTACAAATGCTTTTCTAGTTACGGTTTTGGGGCCTCCTTTTTTGTTTTTTAAATCCCAGGCTTTGTAAGCTACGACAACCCTGTCTCGGCGCAGGCCTCTATCCAAGCCATGAACGGCTTCCAAGTTGGGGCCAAACGCCTGAAAGTCCAGCTTAAACGGCCCAAGGACAAACCCTACTAAATTAGCAAACCAGGCTGCCACTCGTATTGCAATATAATAGGTAAGTGGGCAAGACTTACTGTAGTAGACATGATTTAGGGGTGGGACCACAGCCGGCCGATTTGCTCCAAAAGTGTGAGCCTGAAACATGGTTTGGAGGATCTTTTTTGGGGTCAGCAAGCCTGATATAATGAAGCAAACTGGAGCATAATCAGTTTCGGGTTCGTGTAAATTGAGATGTGGCCTTTTCAAGATGCTTCCCATCAACTGAGATGGTTCCCCCCAAATCCTTTGAGCAAAGGCGTTGGTTTTGAGGTAAGTGGAGGTGAGTATTACGCATTGGCACAAATAACTTCACGGCTCTGAAAAGACTGTTGCAGATGATTCAGAGAGCTGTAGAAACAGTTAGCTCCTTTAGTATGTAACCTGTCTGATGACACGGCATTGGAATTTAGGTCATGTGCAGATTTTTTGGGGGGGGGCTAATCAGTTTCCAAACTTTGGGCGGGGGGATCCTGAAAGGCCACTCTGCAGTTGACCAATCCAATAGGTAACTAACAACATACCACAGACTCCATCAGTCACCAACAAAAATGACTTGGGCGAGTGAGAGAACACTTTGCATCAGTTAACGGTCACCCTTTGTCATTCAGTCAGATTGAGTTTCATTTCTACTGAAATTGCAACGTTGTAGATTAGGTTTTTCAGTGTATTTAGCCAGATGAATGAACATTGGGATAAAAATTAGCGCTCACCGTATTCATCTGCCTCTCATATTTGTTGTGTGTTTGCATTGTGTTAATATTTATTTACACGTTCATGTGTTTGTTTTTTTCCCCCCTCTAAATACCCTCTCTTCCTTGTTCTTACTCTCTTTCCCCCACCCAATCAGATCACTTCTTCTGATTCTGTCCGTTGCTGTCCCAACTGTGACCGTGTTCACGTCTTGACCGTGTCATGCTCGTAGCCCCGGATGTACCGTACCATCTGCGTGTTGTGTGGCGTCACGTACCGTGTAAAAAAAAAAAAAAACCTTCCGCATTGCGTCCAAATCACACACAGCTTTGATTTCAATGTTGTCAACGTTATGTCCTGCTATCAGTGTGTATAACAGTATAAAGAAGTGTATGAAACCCGGTCAAGCTTTTTGGGTTTTTTTCGACAGTTTCGAAGAGTGGCCATTTTGGTCAGATGTGTTTCAGACTTGAGAGCCAAGACAAAAGCACCCGTCTGCCCTGGGCAAGAGTGCTACTTCTGTCTCGTCCGAATTTGACGTCTGCAGTTTGATTCATGTCTTTCGTTTGCAGTTAGTAAGCATACATTGCAATAGGCGTGTCTGTGGCTACGGAGACCCATTCAGACACCAAAATGGCCTCTCTGTAAGATGTACGAAACAGGACTGGGCTTCACATCTACCACTGTAGGATGTAGACAGATTTTAGAAAAGACAAAACCAGATTTTTGTGGTCTTGATCAGTTGACATTTAAATACCGCTGCAAACGGCTTTTCACCACCATTTCTAACAAATAGTTGATGTCCTTATCACCACATGAAGGTGGAAGTCACCATTATTGACAGTAAACTTTGAACATTGAAATGCGTAGTCAAAATTATCCTGTACTTTCAGCATCCAAAGGGAGGAACAGTGTGTTTTTCCACTTCGTTTCCTTCAGACTGGGCCCAAAATTTAGGCCTTTCCCAAAGTTTTCTCCCCGTGTGTTAACATTTTGTACGGAATTACAGTCATTCTGCATTTAAAAAGAAAACTGTATTTCCTCACGCTCTGTAGCAAAAGCAAGCTTTTCTCTTCCTCCAGTAGAATTCCTCCGGTTACCCTGGGAATATTGTAGATGGTGAGGAATGTCAAGTGGACAAGTCATGTCATTGTGCGATAATGTCTCATCAGCTGGAACAAAGATCTTTTAATATTTTCAAGCAAATACATGTAATAAGACTCGAGCGTTGGACTTGCAAATGATTGTTTGTATATATATATTCATAGTTACATTCATGGTTGAACAAAAAAGTGACAAATACACAAATACTTAAACAGTTTCTCAGTAACATTGTTTTCAAAACTTAAGAGTCAACTGGCTTGACAGACGCTCACTTCAAGTTTCTTTAGCAACATGTAGGTACTACTTGTAAACTGTAGTTTCTAAATCTGTTGCTTCACAACATATCTATGATTTAAAACTTCATGCTTGTCATTCTGTTTTTGATCAGAAAGTTGTATATAAATGAAGTGATCACCAGTTGTAAAAAAGGTAGACTAAGGCATTGACTGCTCATGTGTGTTGGCGTGGTAACGTTGTACATAGCCCCGTAGATTGATCATTGTGTTGCTGAGATTATATTGCTGCTTAGTGGTAACTTTGCAAAGAAAACAAGGACGAGAGTAGCTTCAAATTAAGTTTGGAAAACAAACTTGAAAATACTGCACATGAGCAAGCAGAATTATAAACTATGGTCATGGTTTGTCCTTTTTCAATGCAACAGTTTCCTGTGTGGAACTCCCAGGCCTCTAACTGCTGAGTTTGCCTGCAACTGTTGTCAAAGCCCACTTTTAGTTTATATTTCAGTATTTTTGCAGGACAGTCTCTGAGCTAAGGAGAAATGAAATTCATGAGCTTGCAGAACTACCTTACTGGGATTTAATTTTTTTTTTGGGGGGGCTGTTGAAACAGGCAATTTTTTCACAAATTGTACTGGACAGAAGTTCCAAATAATGCTTCTTGGGAGAGCTGTTGAAAACCACACCAGCCATAATGGATTTATCAGAAAAAAAGTGGAAAACGTATTCTTTGTGGCCAATAGCTGTCAACTAATTAACAAATTATGCGAAGTATATTATGAATATTTTCAGGGATAAGCTTTTGAAATTTTTCAGGGACTGGAGATTAAGAATCGATGAGATTGTTGACAGTGATGATTTTCTGTTACGTTTACGAGAATTCAGAAAAAATTGTTCAAGACTTGTGTCTTTTTTGTTATGTTGTGTTGTGTTTTTTGATTGGATGGTTGTTACAATTGTTATACTGTTTCTTTGTTTGTGATGCACAGTTATGTAAAAAATCAATCTTAGCACTGTCCAGTGCAGTGAAGGTACACGAGAATCAAGTGCTCCTTTGAGATGCATCCTTGTCTTTTAACCTGCCCGTGTTCTTTTTTGGCCTTTCCAGGGGTAGTTTTAACAACACGTGGCACTCTTACTGGGGGTAGGCACCAGTTTGGCTGAAATTGAAACCATGTATACACTCTCCGTTGCAATTAATTTCATATCACTTCTTGTCATCAGGAATGTTCCTGAATTGTTTTTGTGTGGTGATTTACTTAAAAGCAGTTGTAAAGCAATATCATGTATGGCATATGAGCCTTTTACCAAGGTATATGTCTAACTGCCATGTGCTCCTTGTTGATCAAGACTTTGCAAAAGTCTCACAAGCATACTGCTTTAATTGGTAGATGGGCTAACTGTCTCCCAGGTTTAATTTGAATCGTACTTCTTGCATCTTAGGTATTTGACAGGTGGACAGCTGGCAAACTAAAAAGAGCCAGGCTGCCTACAAGTCTACAAACCCTGAGGATTAGGGGTCAGGCTGTGTATGGTTGTGCTTGCAGCATGTCTTTTGGAGGTCATTCAAAAGCAGACTTTGGTCCATTTTAAGTGTAAGGGGGAAAAAAGTACAAAGGGGCTGAGCAAGGAGTGAAGTAGTCCCAGTGTTGGAGTATGTTATCAACATCACCCAAAAGTGTGTACATAAAATCAGAATGGTGCACCCTTGAAACTGTTATTTCAATAAGGATTGTAAAACAGCTGCGTCAAAAGCATCTTTTCTTGCGACCTTTGTCTCGTGAGGTCAAAAAATGCAGAATTGAGCAGATTGTAATAGTAGTCTGTGACAGTGATGTCTAATTTCATGGCATGTTTTTTGCACGGTAGCCACATTCTCCAAAAGCCCTCATCCCGTGTTTGCAGCCCTGTCGGATCTTTGCTGGCGATATTTCTCAGTGAAGTTATCCCGTGTGATCAATGGTATGAAAGATAACGATACGTTTTGAGAGAGTTCAATTGTGTAATGAATAATCCTGTGTACATTGATCTCCATGTATTCATTGATGGTTGTCATTCAGCCGTAGAAGCATGTTAATTATTTCAGCTGTTTTATAAACGATCAAAGGTGGTGTTCCTTTTTCTCTCTCAACTCTCTCGCATATTTAGTGTTAGTTTTTTTGTCGAAAGTTAGTCTTGTTTACCAAAATACATATGTGTATTAATTGCTAACTTAAAAGTTCCGAGTTGTTACGTTTGGTGTTAAGGTACGTGTTCATGTAGTTGTGTGTATGTAGAACTCACATTAAATAGCTTGTTGCTCACTAGATGTGATGCTGGTTTTTCATGTCTGTTTAAAGATATACCAGCAGTCACCTTTAATCTTCGAGATTTAATAAGTTGCTCGCTCGTAACTGCCAAGGTTAACTATTGTAGTTGTTTCATGTAGAGGAGTTGTCACTTATCGTTGTGTACATCTTTATATGTTCAATTCGTTAGCTAAGTTATTAATTTTTTAAAATAAAGAAAAAGATCACTTAATTTGTATTATTATCGAGTAAGCTTAAGCATGTGTTGTGGCAAAGAAAGTGCGCCACTGTTTCTTCCCCCAGAGAAAAAATATGGTCATTTTAAGATATTTACTGAAATGATTATGTGAAAAGGTTAGGTCATACAGGGTTTTTAATGAACTTTTTTTTTTCTTTTTCTCTTTTTTTTTCGTGTGACAGGGAGTTATTGAAGATGGAGAATATTGGCATTTTAAGTTCTGTAATTCAGACTTTGTGATGGTTTATTTTAAAAGACACTTGGTTTTTAGTTTTAGTCGTGCGTCAGTGGGCCACATTCTAATTGCACTTGAAAAGCTACCGGAAAGTACCGTCGATGTAGTATATCAGCATTGCTTTATATTGTCAGTTTGAAAATGTCACTTTAGACTTAATATTACCAAATTGATTCAAGTAATCTTTTATTTCATTGCAAAGCTAATGCTAGGTAATACATCAACTGCAGAAAATTTCTTTTTCGTTAAAGAAAAAGAGAAATGGAAAAAGTAGCGGTCGTTTGCTGACCGACTAGAATCCCTTGTCCTTTGTAGAAGTACTCCAGTGTTCTGAAGGAAAGACCTCACCTCACCCATGGCTTTTACCATCAGCATTCGTGTACTGTTCATTGTTTGATAACGTTTTACAACAAACCGTGCAATCACAAGGTGCACTAAAGATGTATATAAACCGAGGGGAAACCAAGAAAAGCTGTATTCCTGTGCGTGTTTCACTTTGGTAGAATGCGTTCTTTTACATTCATGTGTGTGGATACCACTTCTTGTCAGTCTATTAGTCCGTTTGAGAAGCATTTCGTGTTTGTGGTTTGGTTTTGTTTTTTTTCCCCCACTTTCTTCCAAAACAGGCCTTGCAGAATCGATCTGTATTTCATTTATTTTGGTTACGGTAGGAACAGTATGTGTACTTTGCCCTTGAAGATGTGGCACAAAAATGGGATTGGAGAACTCGAGCTGAGAAGTTGGAATTTTAGTCTTTAACAACACAAATTGTGATTAAATTCCATCGTTAAAAACAGAGTATTTGTACACTAACCAAAAAATGGCAAGAATGTAGCTTATTGTGGTTTTTTTTTCCCACTGTTTCTTTGAATTTCCATTTTTTGTTCTGTGGTTTTCCTTTTTTTTTTTTTACTGTATTGGTTGGAAATGAGATGAGCCTGTGAATTACGGGGGCCAATCCAGTGTATTTGGAAAGTGTCACTTTGTCATGTTTCAATCATTGTCAATCAAGTTGTATTTGTTAATGTTGATGTTTCATGGGTAGTTTCTCTGTGAATGTTTTTGTGTACTCTAATGCTTACTTGTTGCTATGTCAGTGTAGTCTGTAATGTTAACGACGTAGTTGTACTTGTAACAATGTAACCTGGAGTGTCTGTCTAGAAGTACTGGGCATTCATGCACCCTCAACCCACATGATTTGTGTTACCTGTAGTAGAATACAACCGGAATCACTCTGTCAAACAAGCAGACACAGAGGCCAAATACGGCCACCAGTTCGAGCATTGTTGTCCACATATTATCATGGCCATCATAAGTATGGCTGCAGGTCCCTTTTTTTAAAAAAGATTTTGGGGGCCATCTGTCTCAGTAGCTACCAGTTCATTGTGGTGGCCCGTCTTTGGTAGCCACCAGCCAACGTTGGTGGCCAACAGTTCTGTGTGGCTGGCAGTCTGTGGTGGCCAGCTGTTGTTGGAGGCCAACCAGTTAAATGTGGCTGCCTGTCCATGGTAGCACATGCCCACTTGTCATACTGGTTGCTTCTGCATTGTGGCCAGTGGCCACAGTGGCCACCTGCAAATGTTAATTAAGAGGTCTTTTGTATTATACTGAGTAGCTGAGCATTTGCCCACCTACCTAATTCCCCCCCCCAGCAGCCAAATGAAAATTACACAACTTGAATGGGTAAGTGCATTGAACTCGTTTTGGTGAAGCTCGCCCAGCCAATGGGTATGCCGACTCTCTCTAACCCCGTAAGAAATTCTTCCGAAAAGATCTGCAGTGTTGATGCCTGTAGCTGTTAACACTGCCACTTCATGTATGAGTCTGACACTAGACCAAAAACGGATCCTGCAAGATGAGTGTCACCCAGGTCTTTTAGACAGCACACCTGTATGTTGCTGTTTTTTTCTCCTTGTCTTTATTTTGTATGTATCCATTCTCATGGCAATTCATTAAACTTAGTTTAGCCATTAGTCCATATTGTTGTCTCTGATATCAGTCCTATTGTTCTGAGTGTCTGTTTTGTATTCCTTTTTCTGTTTTTACTGTAGTCAAGATTAATTGAAAGACCAGTACAGTAAGTTTGTTTTCAATTAGGGATTTGCTTTCCTTTTTTTGTGAAACGGAGAGTTTGTTGATTTTTGGTTCATAGGTAAGTCAAGTCTTGTATTCTCATTACTAGTTATTGGTGCACACAATGACTTGCTTCTGTTACACTTCTAGATTTTTCATGGAAATACAGGATGATAGTTTTGTGAAAGTTCACTGAAGGTTTTTGTTCTCTGTTTGGTTGGCACCATTTCTTTTTTTCTTTGAGCAAGAAAGACTGCATGAAGGAATCAGCATTTTGTATTGAGATTTCTGTGTAATCCTAGTCCCTTTTTTATATGATAGCATTTTGCTTGTTGTTCAACCCAAACTGTAAATTTCACTTGTTGCGTTTTTATCCAACAACCATTCATAGATCTTAATTTATTCCATGTTTGGTTATTATTGTTTCCTACCGATGACATACCCCAAGCAAAGCATTTATGTTCATGTGTATTTCATAGAAAACTGTGTTATTGGTCTCAACAAAAAGTTCCAGTCATTATAATCCGGAGATGTATGATTTTTTATCTTTATTCTCGTCTCTGTTCCCATCTTCTCTCACCCGTTAGATTTCTACTATGCAAGAATGGTGTTCATTGTCTTAGTGATGACAACACAATGCAGCTGCCGTTTACGAGGGGTCAAAAGGACAAGCATGGGGAGGAACATAGTGAGCTACATTCGAGAAACACAGTCGCATCAATAGTCCAAGACTTTACTGTGTGTGATTGGGAAGCAAAAGATAGGAGATTTCCAGCTTGGTATAGCATTTCTTTTAAACCAAAAATAGTTGGTTCCCACTTTCCCTCAGCGCCTTCTGTCTTGCATCAGTTGTTTGATTTGACTGGTACCCTGTAAGTCTCATCTTATTTGTATGGGAAATCGTGGGCCAGATTCTTGAAAAGAAAACCACCCTTCAGTTTTTAAGCCTTGCGGCCTCTCACTTAGTTCTACCACTCCATCCCATTGCTTGATAAATATCGTCCTCGGATATATAGCCGTCGTCAACTTTGTAGGTTTTTGTCACTTTTTCCCTGCTCCCAGTGACGGACCTTTTTTTTCTGGTTTTTTCCACCCAAGACAAAGTCTTTGCCAAGTGTTCAGTGTGTGTGTGGAGACACTAGGGACAAGTCGGGTGTATATCTTTGTGACAGGGTCATGTATATAGCAATGATGCAGGGAAAAGACAGTGCAATAGGAAATGATCCGGTGTTTAAAATTTATAAAAAAGAAACAATTTAGAAAAGTTGTTTTTCTATTGGAGAAAAAGGTATTTTATAACCTTATTGCAACCCTATACAGCCAATGGATTCTGGAGTCGGGCAATCTAGAGCAGGTGTTATTGGGTATTATTTACAGAGCTTCAGGGAATCAGACTTGAAATGGCCGTCGCTGGACAATGGTCCCACACATTTTATAAGCTAGAAATCAGGCTGTTTGTGGCTGCAATATTGTCATGGCAACTGACTGGGAAGTTGACATGCTCCTAGCGGTACTGCTGTGCGGCAAGGCAAGGGGGAAAATACAGAAATGGATGCGTTCACTGTGACTCGGAGTTCCATCGTCATTCTTGCTGGGATAAAAAAAATGAAATGAATCATTTCTAGTGAAAAAATCCATTACAAATTCATAAAAATGATGGTTTGCATTGTGGCTGGATTGTGTCGTCAGGTTTCAGAAGCAGTGTAACGTGTGTTATAAAGATGTGCATTTTGTCTTTTTTCTTTGGGAAAGAAGGTTGTAAAAAAGTGTACAGTATCGTTTAAAATGTACCGTGTAAATTCTGTCTATGTACACAGCTTGTATTTGTCTAATTCTCAACTTTAAACAATGCAGATATTTGACTTGTAAAAGTGGGTGGGTTTTTTCTTTTCCTTAGAAAAAAAAAGATTTATTGAAGAAAAAGATAAATTATGTTGTGTAAATAGTTACTTGGCATTCCATTTACAAATATTTCAACAGTCCCCAAACACGTTGGACAAATATCTGTCTTAAACATTGGGTATTGAGGACTTCAGTCTCCAATTATAGTCCAGATGGGTAAAAGTCACTCAGAAAACCGTATTTGAATTCTTCAAATGGTTTACTGTTTGCCTTCTTGCCTCATGGGGCAAATACCAAAACCCACTCCCAATTCTACTTCGTGTAACACAGAGTGAATTTGAAAACTCCCCCCCCCCCCACCTAATGCACTTAAACATGGCTTGCGCGGCGAAGTCGTCCGGGAATCTCCCCATGCGACATCTTGATGTTGTTAAAATGAACCCACGTTCCTAATGAGCAATTTAATCAAAAGTTTTGTGACGTACGTGGGTGAACATGGAAGTTGATCAGATTACTATGTGAACCTTAATTAGCACCGTTGTTTTATTTATCTTCTCAATGTGGAAATGAGCTTTGTTGTGAAGGTCATCATTTGCTGTATTTTTGTGTTTGTGTAATTATCCGTAGTGAAGGAATACATTGTTTGAAGTGGCAATTATTTAACTGTTTCCTCGTAATTCAGCCTACATTGTGAAAGTTGAAGCATGCAAGCATTATTGTAAGTTTTTTACCGCGTTTCTGTTCTGTAGTAATAGATTTTGGTCGGCTGTTATACGAAAACCGCGTATTAAGACTTGGACCAAACTACAGCGCCAGTATTTGCCTTCGAAAGCAGCATTTAGTGGTCAAGTTGTGTCAAGTCATCGCAAGGATCATTCACAACTCCCAACGTGTGGCATTGATGTTGCGCGGAGAACACCGCCAGTCAACATTGCAAGACTGGTCGGCGCTAGATTCTCTCGCAATAATGGCGGGCTGTACTGTGCCTAAATTTCGTGAACATGCTTGTTGCAGATGAAGCCTGACTGCACTGTTTACTCCTGCCCCACTTCCTTCCCCTTTCGGAAACGTCTTGAGTGTATCAACGGTATCGAAACTCCTCCGTGCATTTTGCGTTTCCCTTCCCCTTTGCCCGATTACCCCATCCCTCCTTGGCAAGCTTTATCGACAATTTTTAACTTGTTACTTTTGGCCGGTCAGTAATCGGCTCAGAGGTGTCGTTAAGTTTCTATGAGCATCACAAAGCACGAGACAGTCGGTAGTATAATTTGCCACTACTAGTCAATACTTGTGTACACGTGTGTTGTGTTTTCTCCGTGACAACCGTTATCCTTGCCTTTTAATTAATACATGAATTTTCCTGACTAGTCACATTTCTATGTAGAATTTGGGTCTGTTCTAGTTTTGAATTGAGCTTAACTGCCAAAAACGTGTGTTAATTGTAAAGATTGTTTGGTTATGAGAAATACAGTTACTGTTATACATTGATTGTTATTCAGTAGTATTCGATACTTTGACTCTGCCGTGTTGTTTTACCCATTTTATCCACAGTGGCGTGTGTAGTGTGTTCAAAGTGTGTTCCTACTAGACTGTTACTTACACGCTTGGTGTGTTATTACAGTTGTGCACGGAAACTACGTGCATGTTTTTTTTATATATCAGAAGCGTGTTGACATTTTCCGGGGTGTGTATTGTATGTTTTTGCCAACAATGTGCACAAAGTTTTCATCAAATGAAATACTGAATTTGTACGTATTCTGTATTATTGATCAGTACAACATCAATTCAGACGGACAATCAGAACTTTTGGAATCCCCGTTGCCCTTTCCAAACCCATCAATTATTATTTATTGTAACATAAATAAATTCAGAGTAATATATCAGATGCATTTTCAGTTTTGGATACCCTTCAAAAAGGACGAGTACCGGTGCGGTTACAGTACTGAAAACATTTTTAAAGATTATGATGAAATAAAAATGAGCAATACATAATCCCAAAATACGAAGGCGTCAGTGTTTCTTTTACTTTTATCATGTGACATTTGACCCAGGACCCATCTGGAACATGCAGAACAACAAGCCTTCAAATGAGAAACGGCAAAACTAGGAAATGTTGCCGCTATCGTAACCTTGCATTTCCCAGCGGAAACCATTACCGTATGACAGAATGGGAAATATACCCGTTAATCTCCCCTAGCCCCCCTAAGGTGCATTTTGTTGAAATCGGAGTATTTGGGACTCGACTGTGAGGGTTGAATACATGTATAACGAACACGCCACGGAAATTCAGGAGCGTTTTAGACTTGAATCAGGTCGAGCTTGCCTTGCTCTTCCCCATCCCTGTCAACCATCCCCTACGCGCCGTTCGCGGATTTTGTTTTTCCTAGGAAGGTTAGAGGTAATTATCATATACGGGCGTAGTTAACTGTAAGCTCAATCAGTTTAGTGGACACTTAGAAACTCAAGTGCTAAGGTAAATGTCGGGCTTTACTTCCCTATTATAAAACATCCTCCAACCAACTAATTCCCCACCAAGAAGAGGCTACTACTTGTAGACTTGAACCCTAGGCTTGGTGGTTCTAAGAATAACGCTCCCCTACCAGAGCTACTGTGCATGTCAGTCAGGAACGCAGTTTTTTGTCTCTTACACTTAAAAGTTCGTGAACCCATTTGTGATAAGTTTCCCCAACCTTCCTAGATGAAAACGCATGCGCAACGGTTAAGATACGCCCATTTTATGATAATTCCCCTTAACCTTCCTAGGAAAACCTAACTTCTTATAGGGCGCCCTGATTTGATAGCTTTTCCGTGATATCCGGCGTTATAGTCAAAGAAACGTGTGTCCCTGGTCAGTAAGTCTGACTTGACGGATAAGCCAATCAGCCCCCCATTGGTGATACGTAGTTATTCATAGTTGCATGTGAAATGACATTTCTACCAATCAAATTAGTCAGACTTGTAGACTCGTCGTGACGTCACTGTGAACCAGAAAGTGCAGTAGTAGGGGATGGACAGTTCTGGACCACACCCCCCTTTTCACCTTTTTCACCAAAACCCCTGGGT